TTACTACAGTAGAATCTCATCAAGACCCTCGATAACGAATGGCCCTTGAATGTATTTTTCAATTACCCTTGTCATATACATACATGTCATTGCAAACCTCGATAAGGAGTCAACCACGATAACAAGTCGTATTTGATTATCCCCATGAGAGATTTGTTTTCAAGGACTCCATGGACCTATCTTTAGATCATTCATTGAAAGCGCAATGACAAATGGATCTGGGTTCACAATAATCTACTCCTCCGGGGATTGAACTAGCAAACTTCTTACGAAGGTGATCTCTATGTAGCTGGGGTGTATTCCGAACCACCGGGACACAGCTTTATGATATAGCTGAAATTCTAGATAAACAAGTTCTGATGTAATAAGAGTGGTGTTGATATGAATAGATTAATTCTGTATGTGACTAAGTGACATGAGGTATGGAAAGTAATTTTTTTTTAATGTTTCCCCTTGTAAAAGTTTTTCTGTAATATGTGATGTTGTCTAGTTACCTAATGTATTTGTTCTGACATTATAACACATTAAACTCACTAGTCCGTAGGCTTATTTCATGACACTGGTTCTACGATTCTATGGGAAATTAACCACACTAATTAGGCAATTTAAGCCCATGCTTACATGGTTACAATTCATGCTTTTTGATTTAGAGAAGGTATTTTGAGGGATTTCCCATCACGTTAATAAAAATTTAATTGAAACAAATTTTTTAAATCAATTCCAACAAAGTGCTTTTCATCACTGATCAATTTTTGATACAGGTACCCAAACAATGTTATTGAAAAATATAAAGCAAATTTTAATTTGTAAGTTATAGAGAACTGTCTCAATCCATACAAAGTAAAGGCATGTGTTGCATTTCTTTAACACTAACTTCATTCTCCAAACGTTCAAATTACCTTTAGGACATTGTTGGAGAAAAAAAAGTTTGTGACGTCATCTTGACTGACGTGTAGGCTACCCATAGGCTACCAGCTGTTCTACGACTTTGTAATCTACAGCTGTTTAGGCTGAAGAGGACATGTTCCTAGAACAGTCTCACTCCTGTGGGGCTCCCTGGTCTGAAACATCACGAAACTAACTCAACATTTACCATTAAAGGATTGTTCGGTTTATTAGCATCTAAACTTGAGAACATTTGAGCTTATGATTATTCATCAGCTGATCCAGTTGCAGTCTCACTGTACTGGCTATGCTCTGCAGTTTCACTCTCTCCCTGACCTTGATCTCCAGTATTTCCACTTTCCTTCTCGGTGGTCCGTCACCGTGACAATCTCCATACCTTTCCTACATGGTCTCCAGCACAATCTCGAGATGCACCTTTGGAGCGATCTCTTCCTATGTACTTTGTGCGTAAACTCTTCTTCAACGACTAGAACGATAATGTTAAAGGAATAAGCGAATGGTATCTTCAATCTGAATTATTCCACAGGGTTTCAAAGTCTAAATTAAAACTTTGGAATCCATGGGGACAAAGGGCTTAGTAATAAAAATATGCCTGTGTCCATCTGTAGTATATTTTCTCTGTTTCTACCAAATTTCGCCTCAATTAGTCGAGTAGTTTGCAGGTGATTTTCTGTGTGAGGAATTAAAAATTTTGGGCTTGGTTTGTATTATGGATTGTCTCACCTTGGAGTCACCTAATTTGTGTTTCATTACATTATCGACTAACCATGTTTATTGTAACGTGAATAAAAATCTCGTATTCAATTAATGACTCCATCGATCCAAACATCGTATCGAGCTTCAAGCAATCATTGTATTTCTCACTTTTTGGGTTGTCTGTTAATCTATTGAAACTACAGTAGCACTCAATCACCTAACAATGAAAATGTCACCGGTTCGATATGAGAAAAGTCAGTAGGTTATTGATGGCTCAAAACTGAACCATGTCGTTCCTGCCCATCACTGTGGGTGAAACAGCTGATCTTAGTCAATAACAAGCTCATCTCACACCATTCTACACTCATCCTTCACTCATATTTGGGTTAAAATACGCACCTAGATGGCGTCCCCATCTCAATTGGTAATTGGCAATACGGTAATACTTACCCCAACTTTTACAAATTCTAAAATTTCATGTGGTAAAAATTACCACGTTGCGTAATGCAGAACTATCTGATTTTGCTCTGATTAATTTTGCACACTTCTCTTTTTACCCCTGAATTGTACTAAAACAACCTACTTTCCTCCAAATTCGTCGTAAACACTGGAAATATTGAATAGTAATAATATTGTATTTTCATTGTAGACACAAAACATAATCTACGAAACAATACCACAGGTATGAAATAGTTTTCTTCGGGTCATGGCCAACGCAGAGTTTTAATTGTCGAGTAAATCCACAATTAGCCTGACAGGAATGCAGTAATGTCTGAAGAACGTCAGTCGACTACTCTACTCTCTGACGGAAAAGACGATTGAAAGTGATTGAAACTCGTTCAGTTTTCTCTATTACCGTGAGATATTTAAAAACTAAAACTGCCAGTTTTCACTTGCAATGTGAAGAGAACATGTAAATGTGAATTGAAAAAACTGAAATCGATTCAAACATTTGGGTGTTAAAACAGGACAAATTGCTTCTTCAGATTCGATTGAGCGTTGGCTATGACAGCACAGTTACTTTTTTTCAGTGCTCACCTTCAAGTTCCTTCAAATTATGAAATTGGTCCTTCGAGCGGGATAGACTCTGGGCTCTGTTTCCATTAATAGTTGGGATATCCAACAAAAGTAGCTCTTCTTATTCTCTCTTCCAAAATCCAGACAACCAATGTTAGTGTTTATCCAAAAACATAATAACAATTAGGCCTTAGTACAATTTCTTCTACTGCAAATCATAAACAAAATGGGTTGGTTCTAATTGGTTTGCGTTTTGGAATAAGCCGTGTTCAGTGACTTTAGATTATAGAGTTATTTGTTACTATTTTTCTGTTGAGTATGTTGTTCCTGAGGCCATACTATATTAAAACTATTAATGATTACCCATTTTACTCGTCTGTATTTTCTTACAGTTCTGTATTTTTTTGTTTTACTTTATCTGTATTTATATAATTTGATCGAAAGTGTACAGTTTTTCGTGAAAACAGTCCGTTTGAAGTAATGGTATGAAGAAGTCTTCTCTAGACTTAGTTTGAATCGATCTTCAAACTCGGTTCAGTGATCTCTTCAGATGCAATGAGCTCAATATTTAGGATTCGTGTCTCAAGGTCATTTCCTCTATCAGCTGATCTTGGTTAATTACCTGCAGTAAAGACGCTCCGTGGAAAGTAGAGCGAAGGAAGTCTGCGATCAAATATTCCAATTAGCCACTTACCGGGGACCAATCAAGATCAGATGCCTCAAAACCGTGCGGATAGGGGCGTTTCTCTTTCACATGATCAAACTTTTATGTACTTAATGAAGAATAAAATAAAACCATTGACTATTGGGTACTTAAAATCCCATAATGCAAATTATCGCCTTATATATAAACAGTTATGAATTAGGTTAGCAAAAGAATGTTTACGGTTGTATTTGGTGGGTAAATAATAACCTATTTACGTCAATTTGTACTTATATTGAAAATAGCTATTTTATTTTATGGAATTTAACAAATTTGTAGTGAAGAAGCTATTACCTTATTTGGCACAGTGACCTACTCGAGAGCGATTTACATTTTCGTTTTAATATCCAAAGTGGCAAAAACTTTCGTTATACATTTTTAGATACAGTATGAATGTATCTAAAAAAACACGATGAGTCGAGCAATTTTGGTACGATGTTAACAACATTTTGTATGAATGTGCATTTTGGGCTTGATAAACTTTAACTTCACAAACCAGCGATCGGGTTATGAGGATGAGTTATGAGAAAGGTTTTGAAATTATTGAAAATTTGGGGTTTAAAAACATTGGAGTACCCATTTTCATTACATCCATCGTATGGAGTTTAAAACAAATAATTTTGTTCATTAAATCGTTGATGTACGATTGAAAGTTACGAGGATAATTATAGCATAGGCTATATTTAAACCCCCTATGTTAGTCTTACGAAAAAAAGTGGTAAAGTATGCTATTTATAGATAAACTTTTATCAAATTTGGCAATGTTTTATACTATTCTATCGATGTTTAGTATCTACAAAAACAATGTTCCTCTTGCCTGTAGCAGATGACCTAGTTACTTGTTAAATTTATTGTTTGTTTTTTAATACAGTAACTAATTAAATATAATATATTAAAAATCCAATCAGACAAATTGAAAATTACTCAGTATGCATGCAGGTTTGCTGCAACAAGAGTATTCTTTAACATTATTAGCTGAATTGTTCTTAGAAACATAGATCAAGATTTACAATTTTCAGATTTTTATTTTTTTTATATGTGTCACACAATGATCGTAGACAACATGGTTATTGTGGAAATACTATAATCCTTATCTGAATTGTTAAGGAATTCATATATAATTTTAGTAATACAGGGTCTAGTAAAAATTTGAGATTTTTTATTCTGGCAGTAAAACAACCTTCCCACACCAATATTTGCGCACAACTTTGATAATTTCCACTCGTTTGCATATTTTTTATAAAAAAATGTATATTGTGCAAGTGTATTTCGTAGACCATAGTTCCAAGAACAAATTTGTTTAATTTCTGAAGAAATGCATCTATTAAAAAAATAAATTTGGAAATTGTGTATTTTTTAGCAGGAAGTAAATCGAAAAATTAAAATGCAAATTGTTTCTATAAATGTTTAAAATTTTCGATTTTCTTTCTAAACTGAAAGTGTAAAACCAAAATTAAAAACCAATCTGATAATTGTATCAAAGATGGCACGCATCATGGACACGAGAGAGTCTGCGTGTTATATTACAATTTAATTCTTATCTAGATAATCTGATTAGCTTTCAACCGTTTTCAGCTTTTCTTGATTTTCCCACGTGGGGGGCCACTCCCCCCTTCCAAAAGTACCCCCCCTTGGAACCAACATGGCGCGCATATAAGAGCCAACGAGCGCACCGGCGGACTGTCTGTCTGTCTGTGTGTTTGTGATACGATTTTGGGACTTAAATTATAAGTAAGTAGTGTATTTTTTAATTTTTAATCGTAAGTTGTTATTGATATGCATCTTATCCATAAACACAAAAATCATTTAAAAGTCTTACATTATAACTGAAATATTAAACTTAAAATTTCTAATTTTATATTTTTACGTATTATAATTTGTTAAGCATATTTAAATTACACTTTTTATGTTATTTGTCTTCTGTTTACACAGAAATGTCACTTTCTCTAACAGTTTTACAGAGTTTAAGCCAGAAAATATATAAATTTCGCTTAATGCGTCTTTATATTTCTATAATGAGTTTTAATGTTATAAAATAATAATGCATTAAGTTTATGGTAAGGTATCGCATATAAATAATGAATAATGGAATCGCATATGTAAATGTATCAAATTAATTTCAAATTACAATAAACAAAATCTATAGTCTACACTGTTCAAGTTCATTAAATGTAAAAAGTAAAATATTTAATTTGTATCGAATTGTAAATTAAATATATTTTAACGTAAAAATAATAGATTTTGGATTCCTCACTTGATGTAAGGGTTAATAAATCTGATTAATAGCTAGCATTGATATACAATATATTAAATAGTCTATTATAGTAGAAATTTCGATATTACAAATGGCCAGTGTGGAAATTCTTTTCACAACTATATTCAAACGAAGTAAATATAACTATATTTCACAATTTACAATAAGTATATAAATAGGCCTACTTTCCATTACAACCATGACTATATTTCATAATTGCATTAATAGAACCACAGATCAACTACTGTGGATGACTGATACAATTGATATAACGTAAATATTAAAATTTAAATACGACCATTGCACCTGTTTCTTAAAATAAATAAATTAATATTTCATTCATCTACTAGTGAGCTCATTATCAATTAAGATGGGGACGACACCTATGTGCGTATTTTAACCCAAATATGAGCGAAGGATGAGTGTAGAATGGTGTGAGATCTGTGTAGTTTTGTTACTGACTAAGATCAGCTGTTTCATTAGTCAGGACCATTTATTAAAAGCCCGATGAAAGACAGCTGGGTCCAGTTTCAAAAAAGCTTCAAACATTTCTCAGGATCGAACCGGCGACCTTTTGATTACTAGCACTACCACACAGTTTCCCATTTAATATCTTAAGTCAAATGACTATTCAACTTGAATACTACAACACTTAATATTTTTGAACATTGGACTGTTTGTTTTCACCCAGTGAAACAGTGGATAGTGGAAATTTAGAAAGTAAAATGGATACTGGAATAATAAAACCTGTGACTGACTTGTGTGGAAAATATGCAGGTGATAAAAATGATTTGAAACAGAGAAAGGTGAAAGTCGAGAGCAATCAAAGGACCTTGACTGTGACGGTGAACGAACCAGAAACTCCAAGGACGAAGGGAAATGTATACATAGGTGTGTTGCTACAATGTTATAGAGTCTAATTTTTATACATACAATTTTTACTTGATTGGATTTTTTTACTTTTTTGTATGAGAACGGTACAAACCCTGTTAACATCGACCAACTAATGAATTGTTGTATCCCTAATTGATCGTTCAGTGACAAAATTAATCGTTAATTGTATCTGTGTCCATAATCTGCTTTGGATATGATCAAACCAGCAACGTTTAGATTTGAAGGTCAGCTAAAACATTCAGCTACTCAGAGAATATTAAGTTAGGAAGTCGCATTGGCTAATTGTAATAATATAGGGTTATGCCTAGAGGGACTATGCTGTTCCGCAGCGTTGAAATAAATATCCGAGAAATAAGTTTATGATTTTTGATTGAGTAATACAGTATCTTGAATTTATGGCTCAAATTAAAGCCCATAATTTACTGATTATTTTGGGTCTAAATCAAATTAAAACCATAAACAATCCTGGAGTATTGGTTTTTAGTTATGGAAAATCTTATAAAATAATGTTTATTTAGGCTGTTTACCTTGCGTTTTTGTAACTCATCCGATTTGAATAACTAATAGCTTAAATGAAAGCTGGATTTCACTGAAGGTTCTTAGACCAAAATATAAAGGATTATATAATTATAACTGGTAAGAATTTGAAAATAAATCAAATTTATGTTTTCGGTCGAGTAATACAGTAAATAAATATATGCCGATGCTTGATGTGAAGTCTGTGCGTGTATACCTTCAATTTGATACCTCAATCATGAAATTCGGCCGGGTAGAAGAGCCAAACGAACTCAGAAAAGAAAACCCAAATTTTTAAAATATATTGGATAGGTCAAATGTCACTTAAAACATTAAAGAAGTTCAATAAAAAAAAATCAGTATGCAACGCAACACCCTGTGTGTATGTATGTATTTAACCATTGACCCCAGAAACTTTGTGAAGTAAACCTACCGTTCTCATGTTAAAGTTTTAGCAAGATTTACAATACAAAGAACTTAGTTTAGTTGAGTTAGTGTGCTGCAAGGATCGTTTTCTTTCCGATGAATCATATTTTTATCTCCAAAAACTGAGAGTGGGTCCTATTATAAACTTTGTACTTATGACCCTCATCAACCGTGTGTAAACTATTTTTAGTAGCGTGTAACATTTAAATACGTCCTCTGATTAAATACAGGCGACAGTAGGTCCATAGATAGCCTATCTACTTTGGGACCAAAAAACAATACAGTAGTACCACGTTCAAATTAAACAATTAGACATTTTCCAACATCAAAACATTTTCACCGAGCTTACTCTAATTTCTGAAAATCTAGCTGAAAACTCACGGAAATAAAATGAAGACTAGGGGCCCCATAGAAGCAATTGCTGCCCTTCACCTCCGTTGGCCATTCCCTATGCTGTGCACCATTCCAAAATACTCTCCTTCGTAGTCGCGGTCTTCGCCTAACACTATACATTTCAACACTGCTACTAATCCAAACCAAAAATGGAACCATCATTGACTATTCGATATTGAACGTTAAATTAAAAGTCAATGATAGAATACTAAAATCAATAAACAAACAAATACACAATGTTTACATCAGCTGGTATATTTGAAACAGCTTATAGAAACACTGTAGCAGTACTTCCATTAGATAATGACCGGATCTTTGACGGCCCGTGGGGCAGAGCAGGGGTAATTTTTGACACTTCTTATATTTTCCCACCGTCCTTTGGCCTTAAGCTTTAAAATTAATTCTCAAAAACCATGCTACCTTTTTCCTAACTCGAGATATTTCGTGGGGACCGTTTCGCTTACGGAATTAAATATACTAGTGGTCGTCCAGTGGTCGAAAACTTAAAAATATGTCATATACACTCATTGACTATTGGATACTGAAGTAAATACTGTCTGAAGAAATCAATTACTCATAGCATCTGGTAACCACACGTTTGCTAAGTCCAAGGAAGACCCATGTAAGGTCGAGGAACGTGAAATGCCAAGACAAGTTTCATCTTGTCATCCTTTACCCGTGTCACCGGTAATTTGTGTATAAATAAGCAATTTGTTAACTGTCGCAATTCCTTTCCTTACATGAGGTTAAATAAACCGTGTAACACTCGATAACGTCTTTCTGAAGAAGAAGAAATGTGAATTGTCAGATCGCCACTAAAAGCATATGCATCACCTTATGACAATTATTCGTTTAGGTACTTTCGTTAGGGGAACATTCATTGTTATTGATGGTTTTTTCGATACATCAACATTTTACTGTTTGATCCAACATATCGATATTAACGGAGTAAAACATATCAGCTGGCAACTTCGATAACTTATTGTTCGGTATCAACATGAACAATGAAATGAAACTGTTCTAAACTAACCTAACATAACTAACCAAACTTGCTGTAGCCTAAACTTACTATTTCAAAATCCCGTTTGAAGGCACTCATGCCTTTTCTGTTATCAAACGGAATTTTGAACTAGTACAGCAAGTTTGGTTAGTTGTGTTACGTGATTTTAGAACAGTTTCATTTCTTAATCCTACATATTATTGTTGCCTAAGTTAAGTTAAACAAGAATAGTTGTCTATTTGTAAATGCGTTTGCAGAAGGAATGTGAATCGTACATGAAATAAAAAATATCGATATATCGAATAAAATCATCGTTGATAATTTACGTTCCCATTAACAGGAAAGTGCCTTTGTGTACAGTTCATTGTTAGTGATTATTACAATAATTTCCCATCACTGATTTAATATTCACAATTTTCAGGATGTTTCGGGATTTACAATCTGATTCCACCAAGGTGAAAGAACCTATGACAAGATAGGACACAAGATACAATAGGTAAAAAAAAAACTATGGAAAAATACGAAAGGGAAATCAACACTCATCTCAAACCACAAAATTAGAAGTCTCTATATTGTACAATGCAGTTTTGTCGTAATAGCCTTGATAGAATTTTTTATTTTTTGAATTGCAGTTCCTTTGTTGCTATAAATAACGTTTAACTTATGTTCATGATAGTTTTAAAGGTGGATTCAGCTTCGGATATCTATAAACATAGTCAACTTGTGATACTTCATATATCTGCGAAAATCATTTTAACTCAAGTACTTCCTTCAAATTCTATTCCTTTAAATGCATAGCTTGTATAGGCTAATATAACAATTAAATAGGCTTTGAATACTTCACAAACATGCTGTCATAATAAAAAATAGTGTAACTACAATACTTAGTGACAGTAATTGTTTGGGCGACTAGTAATGCTCGCCTTCAAATCAACGGTCGCCGGTTCGATTCCAAGCGAAATCAATTTCGGACCCAGATGTAATTTTCATTTGGTCCTTGTGCTATCAAATTATTATGCCATCTAACAAAAAACCGACAGTACAATGCCATGGTTTGGCCTCTTCCCATACAAACGTAAACAATTATAATAGCCCCAAAATAGAATGATTTGTGTGTGTAGTAAAAGTTCACCAGACCCATCAGTAACGACACCCGCTTCACGCACTGATACCTTCCTAAACTGCAATAACTCAATCATCCGTTGGAATTATAATGAGCGATTTTAACTCCGGATCGAAAAACCAGTTTCTTACATAAATGGAGAAAGTGTTCTGGTTTCCTGTCGGAGTTGTCCCGTGTTGCGAAGTCGGTGACAAGCGTTCTGTTTGGAGGGAAGTCACGAATAATATTTCCCTCTGGAGATTAATTCTAATACGTAAATTAAAATGTGAAAATGTATAGACGGCAGGGAGTCAGATGCAAACAATCTGTAAAGGATGGGTAAGGTATACAAAATATGCAATAAGATAAATGTTACAAATCAAACCACGTCTCTTTACCTTCGAAAACGGGAAATCTGAGCATTACATATTTTTACGCCACACTACACTGTTTTAACGAACTTCCCATGCAAGTATTTAGTTCGGAAAACAGCTGTTTGCCACCAGATACATCAAATAGGGGTTCACTACGTACTACTGTCTGTACTGTAATATTTGGCAATGATTGATTATAAACAAAAACTGATTCTTTAATTCAATTTAAATATGAGTACTCATAAGGTTAACATGGGAAACGTCAGAGCCACTGGGGTGGAGCCCTTTTGACGGATCTGCACCAAACTTCACACAAACCGTCCTTGAATAACGCTTAATGATGCCTGAAAGTTTCATTACAATCTGTCGAGTGGTTTCGGAGTCCATAGGTTACATACATACATACTTCCTCTTTTATACAGTATATATAGATATCTATACTATTATAAAAAAGAGGTGGTGTCTGTGTGTATGGGAAAAGTAAACGCGAAAACTACTGGTCGGATCGGGCTGAAATTCGGCATGATGATAGCTCATATTCCCGATTAACATATAGGCATATTTTTATCCCAAAAATCCTTCCGGGCTCCGCCCCAGTGGCTCTGGAGCAAAGGTTCCCATGTTAACCTTATGAGAAATGGAATTAATGAATCTTAACAGCTGTTTCAATTAAACAAGATGGTTCTGTTCTATGATTTTCAATAGCATTAAAGTTACAAGGATTACCAACAGGGTGCAGCACTAGCATTATTTCTTTTACATTTATGACAACAGCTAATTTGCAACCAAAAGGTGAGTGAGCGTAGCGAACGAACTTCAACCTGGAGGCGAGTGAGCGTAGCGAACGAGCTAACCTGAAGACAAGTGAGCGTAGCGAACGAGCTAACCTGAAGGAAAGTGAGCGCAGCGAACGAGCTCCAACCTAAAGGTGAGTGAGCGTAGCGAACGAACTTCAAAAAGAACCGAAATTTCTTAAACCATGTCCTCACTCATAACTGCTATAAGCATTTGATACTTATATGCCAACCCCGTACGAAGGACGGGTACTCTGCTAGTCAATGATAAATATAAGGATTTGTACAGATTATATTATTTTTAAGTTAGCTAAGTATATGGTATAAAATATCGCAAGTCACTCGTCTAAAATGTGTGTACCGGACTCGTATGGTAATCCCGCACTCGACTACTCGACTTCGTCTAGCACTGGAACGACTACACTCGTCCGGTAAACACCTGTTTTCAGGACTAGTAACGGGCTTACTATTACGACAGATTAAATGTTCAAACGTTATAAAATATGTTACAAAACGGGAATCATATGGGGAGAATCTGTTGAATTTATGTGGATAATGGAATAAATAAACAAAACAATAATTGTTACAAATCATGTCAAATCGAGTTGCTTAAAGTCGCAAAACATAAATTATAATAACAACTATGGGAAAAGATATTTTAGACTGTAGCGTACCCTGTGAATGGCTCATTCAAATATCTTTTCAAAATAAAAATTGTCTACATATTAGGGATATTACGTAATAATACAAAAGTCCTGAATCACAACGAATTTTTTTAAACCGATTGTAAGCTAACCTCAAATGTTGAAACAACATTTCCTTATCGTACATCCCTAATTTCCCAACAAAATTGAGCAGTAAAACCACAATCCCATGTTAGGCTATAAATGTCAACAATTACAAAATCGTGGCTCATCGCACCAACGCCGATAGATGAGGTGATTTAGCTGCGATCGCGGAACACTTTCCCCCATAGAACGCCCCGACACCATAGATAGAACAACCTCATAGAACGCCCAGACACCTGTGGTGCATGGGAGAAAGTGCATTGGTATCACTTGCATAACCACAATAAACATTGTAACATTGAGATTAGAATGTGCTGTAACCGGTTTGGACGTGTGTTGTGTTAGACTGATTAAGATGGAAAGTAGACTATCAACTAATTATCAATTGAGATGGGGACGCCACCTAGGTGCTTATTTCAACTCAAATGAGTGTAGAATGGTGTGAGATGATCTGTGTAGCTTAGTGACTGATCAGATTGTTTCTTAGCCAGGATAATTTATTTAGATCCCAATGATCAGCTACTGACTTTTCTCTAAATTGAACCAGCGAAACATTATTTTGATTGCTAGGCGAGGTTTAAAAGGCAGGTTTCATCATACATACTATAATCGACATACTACATACATACTATAAACAGCGGTCACCTGGTGAAACATCACGATCAAGTCAAGTCAAATTGGGTAATTGATTTTGCATCGAATCGTCTTTCTTGTGTTACCAAAATTATGGCTACAATTATGTTGCTAACGAATAATTCAAAAGGTTTAAAATATGACGACCGTCCATGGCTCAAAGTAAACTCTATGTCAAAGAATGATCTAAATTTCCGAACTTTCCTCATGCGTGTGAGTATGAGTTACTTTCAATAGCTTTCGGTTTCGACATCGATACTTGTTCCAGATCACGTTACTTTCCCGTCACATGTTCCACAGATATTGGTACTTGTAACCCAACTTTCTAGCTTGTTTGTCGTGTCAGGATGATTTGCAGCCACTTGCTGCTGGAAAGTCTGGACCTTGGACCGCCTCCGTTCCCATCACTTTAGCATCAGTGTACTTGTTGCGTCGAAATATCGGCATTTTCGGCTTTGTTGGATCCCCAACAAAGTACGTGGGTATGAAAAATAGACAGACAAGTCTAATAAGGCTTTTTGTAAATCGAGTCAAAATGGTGTAGCCTACCTAAGAGCTAACTCCGGGAGCTGGGGATTCAGAGGTAATGACACTAAAAGCCGTTGTTTTCTGCCACAAATCCGCCTCTTTCTCTACAGTTCCCACTTATGACAGCAGTAGGGCCTTGGCATGTCTATGGTCTGTATGATGGACCCTGTCTCCTGACATCTACCTAGGTAGTCGGAGCGTCAGGAGACAGGTTACATCATACAGACTATAACTACATACATCGTCATGGTGCACATGATGCACTCATGGTGAATTATAAAGAAAATAATAATGTAAAAAATATCTGCCACAATCAAAGATAATAGCTGCAACAATCGTTTTAGCAAACACCAGACCTAAGGCATTATGGGTTCACAAATAAATTGAATTGATCACAAAAGCTGGGTAACAGAAATATTCTCAATGTCGTAACAATTTTTCCGCCAACGAAAGAAGACATAAGCGTAATGTTTCCGCTACATATATTGAATACATTGACAATAGACCACGCACAACACGTCGGCGAGGCAGGGGTGCCGTGACGAACTTTCCCTGGTTTTTGTGGCCCGACAGAGCGTGGTGTTGGTTTGGTACGTGCTCGCCACTCGTAAAAATCATATTTTTTGCGGACACTTTCTAGTTAGAGGATGTGGTGATGTTTCCCTATACCGGTTGGGAGCAACTTTTTTGGGGTTGGGGTGTACAAAATTGTATCCGAAATTGGAAACTGGAGATCCCGACCATATATTAACGACAAAATTACCATATATTATAGCTTGATAGTGATAGAGCTAAAGTATAACCAGCTTATTGTGCAAGAAATAAGCTAATTCCACACTCCTTTACTAGAAGATCACTATGTGGGGCAAAAGTAGCCTATACCATATTATTTATAATATGGGAATATGCTGAAATGTTTACGTTGTTTATGGATTACCTACAGAAAAACTCACTATATATTATGATCCATGTCGGTTATTATACAACTTACACAGATCTTTTTAAGGATGTAAAAGTTATTACATATCTCTCTTCCACAAAGAGAGGCAAATTAAAATAACAAATACATTAATGTATTTATTTAATTGGCAAAAGAAATAAAACCACAAAACGAGCACGTACGTGCCAAAAAAACCAAAAAACGTTCTCCAACAAAATCGGACATTTTGAAGATCGAATTAAAAGGAAACATTGATGATTCCGTCAACAATCTCTCTTGATGGTGACTGACAGGAGTTCGTGTTTTCCTTCCTATTAACAGTTTAATCTTGGCATTAGGTCTGTTGCGTGCATAGCACAGACGTTGTTCTACGATTCTTTCTCATTCTCCCGGCGATTCACATATTTCACTAGTACTTCTCAGAATCGTTGTTGAACGTAGCTTTCATTCTGCTGGTCTGTAGTTCACATACTCTGTGTCGGAATGGCAGTTAATTAACTTTCTATTTGTTTTCAGAATGAGAGTGGTTCTGCTGACGGCTCTGCTGGCCTTGGCTGCGATAGCTAAGGCTGACGACTCTACAACCTTCGAAGATGACACAAAGGATGACAGGGATAAGAGACAGACGCCCTTCTACTCTGGCGGTCTGACGGGGTTCAGGCCAACCCCCAAGCCACAGCCCTTCACTGGAGGGCTGCAACAAACTAACCTACCACGCTTCCAGGTAGGATATCAGTAAAGTCAAAGTATACAAACTTAATTTCATCAATATGTATCAAAGTGTATTTTCACCCAATGCCAAGGATGATTTATGGTAAAATATAATGGTTTAGGTATATATAATTTATTAGGGGAGTAAAGAATATTTTACATGATATAACTAACTATGCAGCCCTCACTCAGGTTTAGATTGACAGACAAGTTTCAGTCACTTTAGTTTTTGGAAGAAACATAGCAAGTTTTTTGAGCACGACAGGCTATTTAAGGCAGTGATAACTTCGGTTCTTGATGCAAGCCACTTTATTTTATCCATACACTTCTCTCTTGCACTGTACCGGCTCACTACTTGCTCTGTTGGATACTCTCCACACAAATGCGGGGCCATAGATTAAATATACTCCAGTTAGTTCCGGAGCCTTGTACGTATGTTCAAATGCAAAGTTAAGAGGCCAACTTCGACAAATATTTTCTCAGACTTTCCTGATGTTTCTCTGTTGTTGGCAGGGGCAGCTGTCGTCTGCACCTCAGGGGTTCCGCACGGTAACCCCAGTTGACGAGGAAGCTGATGAAATTGATAGAAACACTGTCTCTCCGACCCCTCAGCCCCTTGTCCTCAGACAACAACAATACACCGCCCAGGTAGGCCTACATTACGTTCTGTTTAGGGGGTGGAGATAAAACAGATTTAAGACATAATAGTTTTGACAATTTGCTAAAATCTGAGTACAGTAGTTTCGACTATTTTCCTTAAGAAGAAAAACTCTTCTTTTAAATGGGCTCCTGTAAGGCCGTGGATAGACAAAAGTGGCAACGCCGCAGTCCCGGCCTGCCGAAACAGCTGTTGTAGGTACTAATTCATAATGGAACTTCTGCGCAATGTTCATGTCTGCACGTTTGTTATTCCAATATCAAAAGACCGGCCGGTGCGACGTTGCCACACACACGCACGCCATGAACTTGATTACCTATAGTTTTTATATGTGAGTATCTCTGAAAAAAATTACTTCGGTGTGAATCAAAAAAATTAATGTATTAGCAATCAAACGTTAAACCCCAAGAGGAAATTCCATTGGGATTCGTAACTCACATAACCTAAAAGCCGGAAGAGAGTTGACCCGATTAGTAACAGCAGGGCAGTGTGTGACCAGATCAGCTGATTGCTAGGTCCAGCTGTTATGTCACATCTGAGTAAGGAAGTTTACCCGCCAACCGGTCACTGTAGGCGCAGCAACACACCCGCTGCAGGTTCAGTTATGTAGCATGCCTTCAAAACATTCTCTTATCACCCTTACACCTTGTGGAACATAAATAAAGAATTTACTTTGGTGAGAGTGTTACATTCTTATATGTTCATAGCTTTGTACTCTGAGTGCAACAGGTGGATTTACTGAGAAGAATAATTTGTGTACTTCAGTTGGGACTTATCTGTGAGATGAATCATCTGATCATGTTGTACAGTAGCAAAAATTAAAATTAAAGCTATTTTAAACTAATTTAAAGCAATTATTACAATAACACCCCATTTAATTTGATTGACATAACAAATTGGGTGAAAGACACTGAAAAATACAGGTTTTTTTAGAAGTTCTGAACTAACAGTGAAGTTTATACTATACTATAGCAGATGTTTTGTAATTGTTATGGCCTACTCATATGTTTATTGTAAACGAAATCAAACAGCTGATCACTGATCAGCAGTCAGTAGAGCTACACAAAAGGCATCTCACTCCATTCGACATCATATTCAGCTTGTACAAAGCAATTGTCCCTGACTCAGTGAAAGATTGGTCATAAGACTTAACAAAAGCTGGTGGTCAGAGTCCATCAGCAAAATTAATTAAACGTAGGAGTCATCGCTCTTATAGCAACAAGACTAAGTCTGTGGCCACTGGCATTAACAATAATAGACTACAGATCATTGTGTAAGCCTTTTCAATACCCCTCAACAATGTATTCCCCATTACCTCATGCCTATTCTTCTTGCACAATCATTTTGACAATAGAGTTCATGTGAATATTTACAACCAATTCTATCCATGGACCAAGTGCAACCAATTCTTACACTTGAAGTCATTACATTTCATGGACTTAAACTTCCTCACTCATTTTGAGCTGCAGTGATCAAATATGGACTTAATTGGTTTTTAAATAGCTGCTCTAGAGTGTAGCTCAGATGTGGGTGTTCCGAGTCCAGATATGGACCGTTGCTAATATCATGTTCTCACTTTCTGGACCACTTTCTACAACCCGGCTCATGTTACGGCATTCTGACCACATGTCCACCTCCATAAATAGTAGGCAATAAATAACAGCTCTTGATAATATTTGTCTATTTTGCTTCAACTGTGTGGATCCTATACCTACCTATATGAACAATACAGGGTTAGTAAAAAGTGTGGAGACCCCCTGTTATTTTTTTAACGGCCCATACTAGAAAAACTAAACTCGGCACACCTTTATGGCATGTTATGAAGTACTTTTTGGGCATAACCGTCACTTGGTGTACATCCCCAAAATGGGGGATTTTGGGGGAAACTAAAAATTTAAAATACAAAGACCTATCGAGTGACCCCTCATTTTGAAGGTCCTGGTAAAAGAAAACCAAAAACGCAAACTAGAGGTCTTTATCTCAACCCAGTAAAAAATGGCAGCCAATTGAAATTCTCAGAAGTTGAATTTAACTTGCAGCTTTCCAAGTCTGGAGACCCCCTGTAAATTTTGTAGCGGCTCACACTAGGAAAGCTAAACTCTACACACCTTTTTGGCATGTTATGAAGTACTTTTTAAGCCCAATAGCCACTTGCTTACCAAACCCAAAATGGGGGATTTTGGGGGAAACTCAAAAGTTTTAAATAATAAGCCCCATCAAGTGACCCCTCATTTTGAAGGTCCTGGTAAAAGAAAACTAACAACGCAAACTAGAGGTTTCTATCTCAATCCAGTAAAAAATGGAAGCTGATTGAAATCTTTAGCAATCGGAAATAACTTGCAATTTTATATTCAATTGGCTGCCATATTTTACTGTGTTAAGATAGAGACCTATAGTTTGCGTTGTTAGTTTTCTTTTATTATGACCTTCAAAATGAGGGGTCACTCGATGGGGCTTATCATTTAAAATTTTTGAGTTTCCCCCAAAATCCCCCATTTTGGGTTTGGGAACTTATGAGAATTTCAATTGGCTGCCATTTTGTACTGAACTGAGATAGAGACCTCTAGTTTGCGTTGTTGGTTTTCTTTTACCAGGACCTTCAAAATGAGGAGACACTCGATGGGTCTTTGTATTTGAATTTTTTTAGTTTCCCCCAAAATCCCCCATTTTGGGGATGAACACCAAGTGGCGGTTATGCCCAAAAAGTACTTCATAACATGCCATAATGGTGTGCCGAGTTTAGTTTTTCTAGTATGGGCCGTTAAAAAAATAACAGGGGGTCTCCACACTTTTTACTAACCCTGTATGTTTGCTTGTATGTATGCTTGCTTGCACATGCATTTTGTATAAAGATCTCAAAAACGGCTTTGACGATTTATTTCAAATGTTATAAATAATTTATTTCTGGTCTAAAACGTGAACAACAGCTACTCTCTTAGGAAAATTTGTATTTCGCTACGCATCTCATTTGAAAATTTAAAAATATATCATTCGTCTTATGGGTTACATAGTAACTATGTTGGTTGAATAGAATACTGTAATAAGGAAAAAGTAAACAAAAGACTTGTAACATTTTTATAAAAAGCTATCCACAATATACTAGCTAAGGCACAATATTTACAGTACAAAGGGAAAAACATAAGTTGTTATTAAGCAAAGATTACCCTGAAAATTACTCGATACAGGGGAAAATAGTTCTGATTAAATACTGATTATTTTACTTGGCTCTCTCTTACCAAAACTTAATACTCAAAGTACTGAGCAATTGTTAGCAAACTTTGTTTTAGCAGTGAAATAAGTATTTAATTATAAATTAGTATTTAATAAAAAAAAAAATGATGATACTATTACATTAATAAAATGCTTAGATGATTGTTGGGATCTAAAGCCCCACCTTCTACCACTAGACTAGCTTGCTCCCTATGGATGTGAATAAACTGAACACTATTAATAAGAAAGATTGATGTAGGATTACTGTTTTAGCCGACACAATATCGTCCTGCGCCCTCCCCTACACCTCAGGTTGTGCTCAGGTCTCGTCCCCAGCCTCAGCAGTCTGAATACAGACGTCCTCAACAACAACAGCAGCAGCAACGGTTCAGAGTTAACCCACAACAACAGCTGACTGTAAGTAACTTCACTATAAACTAATAGTTTGTCAACATACTGCTACATACTAGACACATGATCTTTTACTGTAGTTTCTAGAAGTACCAGAGTATACATTTCATTTTGAAAATAATTAGTAACTCCTACAATGAACCACAAGAAGTAAGGTACAGAGAAAACTTGCTTACGGAACAACCAAGCGCTTTCTTTCAACTCTATAGTCCTCGCCACCCTAAGTTGAGGCAGCCCAAGGCCGCACGGCGTATATCTAGTGCGGCCTTTGGCTGCCTCAACTTAGGGTGGTGAGGACTATAGTGTGTTGTGCGTGCGTGTATGTATACCTTTAACGAGCAAGGAAGAGCCTGAGCAATTAGCACTCTGCAGAAGTTCCTATTGCAAAGGACACATCAGGGCCTTCTTCCAGATTGAGCGAGTACAAAATGGCAAGGGAAAGGAGTACGAGGGGGTTAGGAGAAGCGACAGTGTTTGACATTGCCCTGGTAAATTGGATGCGTAGCTGAGTTGTTATAGTGCTAACAATTAGAAGGTCGCTGGTTCGATCCTGAGAAAAGCCAGTAGCTTTTTGATGGTTGGAAACTGGACCCTGTTGTTCCTGATCATTGGGTTTCAAATAAATGATCCTGGCTAATGAATCAGCTGATCTTAGTCAGTAACAAGCTACACAGATCATATTAAACCATTCTACACTCATTCTTCACTCATATTTGGGTTAAAATCCGCACCTCGGTTGCGTCTGGCGCCCCTAGATTTATATAACTCATAATTGACACCATTGAATGTTTCCTCTGTATCTAACTTCTCTGAGCCCTTTCAAAACTCAGGAATCATGAAAGAGAGATAGAGTTTAGATAAAGAAAAAAACTGGCCTGCCATTTTATACCCAAAAACTATTTGGAATTTTGAAATCACAATCTTGTTTGTTGTGTAGGAAGAGCAGTTGGAAGAGCTGGAGGAGGAGAAGGAGGAGCCTGATCGCTTGACTCTGCTGCTGCCTCAGAGCAAATTCGACTGCCACGGACTCAAGACTGGATACTACGCTGACGAGGGCCTCAACTGCGAAGTGTTCCATTACTGTCAGGACAACGCTCGCCACTCGTGGATCTGCCCTGAGGGATTCCTCTTTCACCAGGTAGCCATTGACTTATGTATAAGTAGACATCCCACAAGTGTGGAGGAGCTAGCCAATATTTTATTGCAAAACAGTATAAGCAAACTGACATATACTTTGTCCCATGAGCTTGCCAACAACCCTTTTCATGGGCAAGGGGTGGGAGTAACTATGATTTTTATGGGGAAAATCACAAAAGTTGCAAAAATGTTTGAACCGTATTTTTACAGCGGGGTTGTACCATTTTGTTTAGAGCTAAAAGGACCCTTAAAAATTCTACATTTTGATACAAAATGAAAAATGTTTGTTTAAGGTCGTCCAGAAAATGAAGAAAGCACACCGTGTCCAGTGCAGAACTCTTTTAATTTTGTGTGCATTCGCTTACACCATCCTTTCTCTTCAGTGTGATCTAAGTCGTATTACTGTGCGGTCACCCTACTTTAGTATTTTAAAACAATGCTAATTGGAAATCCCGCCAAATGTTAAGAGCAGAGTGTAATCCACTTTTCAAGTGCTCAAAAAGTTTATGCGGCCGATAGAGATTAACTCATGTTGATATCAGGAGGTGCAATAATAAACTAAAGAATCCTTTTGTGAGAATCTTCTACAACTTTGACACCATATAAAAAACAAGAGACATGGAATTTTGTCGGGTAGTCTTTTCTCCCGTCCTCATGCTTCAGCACGATCTTCAATATCTGATGTGGACAGCAATGTTTGGTCATCCTCCCTAAAACCCTGACCCTGACCTAGAACCCAGTGTGATTTTCACCTGTTCCCAAAATTGAAGGGATTTTTGGTTGGGTGAGAAACAGTTTGGAAGTGACGATCGAGGGTTTTAAAAAACCAGTGAAAACATGGCTCAAACCTCTAGCGGCCTAGTGGAGTACGTAGAAAAGTAGAATAAAGTACTGTGGCTTGTAAATAATGTTTTGTGTTGATATCATTTGATTTTTTAGCCTTGCTAAAACGTTCTTTTCTCTACGAACGACCCGCGTACCTTAACAGTTTAAAATATGCAATGTGATACTTACCTGTGTGACTTATCCAGGTCCATTTGATCTGTATGCCGCCAAGCAGTGACAACATTTGCCAACAGTCCTCGCAGTACCACTTTGTCAACGACTTCCTCTACAAGCCCATCAACCAGGAAGAGTTTGACAAGAAGCCCAATGTAACGCTCAGATACTCCGACAGATATTACCCAGGTGAGCATTATATCACATGTAATCGTAAACCTTTAATTCAAAGGGATCCAAATAGATTCATTTGTTATATGAATTTAGTGAAGGAATAATGATGCTACTCTTGTTGATTAGTGTTATTTGTTCCAATTTGTACTCTACCCATTTAACTCCTGACTCCAGCAACATGACCTAATTATTTGAGCACTCTGACTTTTTTCTCCAAATTATTATGGATAATTTTGCAAAAAAGTTATACTGGTACCTTAAATTTGCTCTTTCTTTTTCATTTATCTACACCTTTGCTATTTTATAAATTTTTGAAGGGAAGGGTCCAAACCCTGGGCTTGTTAGTCTAAAGTTGACTTTTTAGTTGGATATAAATATTTTGTATCATTAATTCTTAGCCCAATGATAAATGTCATCTGGGTCTGGAGATTTTGGGTTTCCAACTTTAAAAGACACACACAAACATTAAAAACCCCAATTTAAAAACAACCAAACATAAAAACCGGTACAGTATTGGTAAATGATGTGACATAGGTATCTTTAGATTCTACATCTCAAATCATGTCACATAATTCCCCAAAACAGTTGTTTGTTATTTGTCAGCGGTTATAATGTTTGTGTGTGACAGTTTGCTTGAACAGTTGTAAAAATGAACTGTACGTGAATCAACACTTTTAAATCCTTAACGCCTGAATGTGACTGTGGGAAGTCAAATCTAGTTATGACACTAGCAACATTATCGGATTACGCAGAAGCAGGTATCTAAATCAATAATATTCAACATAATACGGAGGCTAAAATCAAAAGTGTTGAGGCGTGACATTGACTGTTCCAGAGAACTACTATGAGGAAGGCCAGGCCTACGAGAGCAGGCCAGTTCCAGTGAAGGCTAGTAGGCCAGTACAGCAGCCTACACCCCTCAGGCCATCCCCTTCACCACAACAGTTCAGAGCAAACCAAGTCTTCCACTCTCCAGAAGAGGTAAACATTAATGAAATTAATAATGACCTATTGTTGCAAAGATTACAGTAGAACCTCTTTAATCCGAACATCCACTAATCCGAACACAGTATTGAACTGTACTCCATACACAGTACAATAGTTATTTATTGTATACGTACGCACCGTAATTGTTTCTATTGTAATTTACAGAACGGTTTATTTACTATGTTTACTACTGTATTAAATAAACACTTATTATACTTTATAAAGCATTTTTTCACTCTTCCTGTAACAATTAAGCGCCATTTTAACTATTCTTATGTAAAAACTACAATATGTTCTGTAATCCGAACTATTCAATAATCCGAACTACCCCCGGTCCCAATTAGTTCTGATTAAAGAGGTTCTACTGTAGTTGAGTTTCCAAAAGCTTGAGACTGTTTCATAATACGCTATGCTTAGAAGCAGGATGAAATTAAAAACGTCAGTTATGACTGAGCCATTACCGAAACTTTGTTTCATGCTCGCTTTTCCATCGTTTCAGTTAGGCCTAGTGAAACAGAATTTTTTTTAGTGTGTTGCTACAGTAGTGTTGTGGTTAGCGCCTCGGATTTTGGTGTGGATTTGGACCGCTTTCCCCAAAAGTGCTTTATTAATTCCTCCTTTGAATTCTCCTGTAAACAAATTAACATTTATAAATCTGATACTTTTGCCAAAGGTTTGTCCTATCTGCCACTTATACACTAAGGGGCGGTTTGGGAGCTCGGTATTAGCGCTAGTCCGCGACTAAATCCGGATATTTCCGGTATTTTAGGCTGCCGCCTCGAAAACGGGTTTGTGAGCTCGGGATCAGTAAGGCGCGCGCCTAACTTGTGCAGGGATAATCTCGCGCCTAAATATTGTTGGTTTGGGAGTCAAGTAGACTTAGGCGCCAGCCTAAGAGATAGTCTCGGTGGGTTTGGGAGACCAATTTCGGGACTAAGAGATATGTTTTCGTCATAAAAATCAGTGAGTTTAGTCCCAAACTTTAGTCCTGCCAGGGGGCAGGTCGTCGACATCATGCCGGTATTAGCTCATTAGCAAGTTAATTGTTTACATATTAACTAAAAGAATGTTATATTGGAATTTGTTATTAAATTCAGACAATTTTCATTACTCTCAAAGTATATTTTATAAAACTTTTTTTTGTTTTCTGTTGTTCAAAATAAAACGAAAATCTTGCAGAAAGCTAAATTTAAGGAAAGATTATTTGGTTTTGTTTTTACTGTTAACTGCAATACAAATATGGACCCTAAATAGAATTTCTTTCAACTGAGAGTTTGGCTATAAGCACCTGTACCTTAATTATAAATATTTTATTAGTAAGGAAATAATAAGCAACCACATGCATACCCCCCACTCACCCCCTACGAAAGAGTGAAGAGATAGTAAACAAAACATAAAAAACTGCAAATAGCTCACAGTCATAATCGTTATCTTTTAATTGCGTTGTGATAGAGCTCAGTTCAGTGTCATTGACCAAGTGCTAGTTACATCAAAATGGAGTACCTGGATTATTTGGAGTATAAGAAAATATATACAGTAATATCAATAACCCGCCACAGAAAACCTGAATTTCCAAATAACCTAATAGAGCTTTCAATTAAATTTATATTATATAACTTAAGGTTTAACAAGCACCTGAAACTACCTACGGTGTAGATATGCTGCTACAGGGAGGGTAATAAAGTGTGTTTTTAACAAAATATTAACAGCTTTATAAAAAATAAATAAATTTGCCAAGTTTCATAAAAATATATCCACAAACGACCACACTAGAACAGTTAACTTATTCTCCATAAGCATCACATGGGAATTTAAAATTTACAATTTTACCAATAGTCTCTGTAGACAATAACCGTACAAAACATTTTAAGATATTAATTTGTTTTTTATACTCTTTAAAATACTCTTTACTCTTTAAATTACTCTTTAAAATATTTTAAAGACAAAGATTTATGTTATAGGGGTTAAAATTGAGAAAAAAACTATTTTTATCCTATACAACTCTGGTTTCCCTTGGTCTGATCATGCTGGTTCGCGAACTCATTAAGGAGAATCGCCACACTTAATGAGCACTTTCATGCCAAATTTTATCAAAATCAGACAAAAATTACTCAAGTTATCACGTTTATGGACGTATATATAATACATTTATATATAGGCTATACATATATAAAATTTTGAACGAACAGTGTTTTTGGCCTCTAGGGACATCAAAATGGAAAAGTTTATCGGTCCCGGAACTAAGTGCTACCTACGGTAATAGATACTTCCCTAGGAAAATTAGATAAAAGAGTGTCATGTAAAAAAAGATTTTAAATTGACAACAATTTTTTCTAAGTACTGTATTAAAAGATTTTTTTTACATTTACCTTGGCTTCACATAATCATAACCTCCGCAATTACTTTTTATTATTTTTTTTCAATACCCCTATATTATACTGGGAAATTACTGTTTAATTTTGAAGCTTTTTATTGCATGAAACCGAGTTTCCGATGTTAATCCTATGTTGCTCTGTACGTATTTATAAGGTGTAGTACTTAAAAGGCAACTAGTAGTACTTAAGGACAACTGATTAAATAATTATAAATCGTAAAGTGAAAATTAAGTTAGATCTTAAAAGAATTTAATATAAACAATTACGGTTCTTCAGTCATTGGGATGTAAAACAACGATCTTACAAAACTACATTTTTGCAATGGTACAATGCAGAAACATACGCCATAGTCTACTAATTAGCCACCATTGATATACCAAGATAAAATTGTATCCATCTTCAAAAAGTGTTAATCTTTTGTTGTTGTCAACGGTAACGGGTTCTGCAATGGCCGTTGCCAACGTCAAAACCTGAATTCCCCGCGATTCCCTGTCCATCTAGCCGCGCTGCAACTTAGGCGCGACTATACTTGATCTACGACCATTTCAACTTAGGCGCGAGCTCCCAAGCCTGGTTTCTGGTCCGGGGACTAAAGTTAGGCGCGTCCAACAGTAGGCGCGTACTAGCTGGGCTCGAGCTCCCAAACCGCCCCTAAGTTTGAAGTCAATTGCTTAAGGGGTTCAAAATTTATGGGTACATTTGTGAAAGTCATATACTGCCAGACAGAAAACCAGAAATTTTAGACCAATTATGATGTTTTTCATGGTTTTGACCTTAGGAACATTTTAAGTTTGCGGGCCAAGATTCTAGTCTTGTGGTCTTTCTTATTCTCTAAACGTTTGGGTCTAAGCTCAGGAGGAAATCACATAAATACTCAGAAACTACATGATGATCAAACGTAAACCATCTTAACAGTTTTTCCATAAATAAAAACGTCTACTTCGGCAACAGTCTGTTACTGATGTTAATTTCAGGGGTTGAAGATGGCACAATGATTCAGAAACAAAGTATTTAACCGAATTTTATTTTCTAGGTCAACATCCCTCTTCAGCACAGAAGACCTGTAACCCAGCCTCAGAGAACGTACCCTACAACTAGCAGCGAGGAGTACGAATACTGAACACTATGACTCTTGATCACGTCAGAACGCGAGTGTGAATCGAACAATTCAGTGTTACCGGGAGTCGTTCATCAGCCACTCGGTAACCAGCAAACTGCTCAATGCAACTTAAGTCAGTGAATTTAAAAAATTGACCAGCAAAATGATGGTTTGAATCTGCAATGTTATAAAAACACGTGACAGTGCAGCGTTTTTGATTTTGTATGTATTAAATCAACTCTTTGTTTTATTTACCTAAAAATTGTAGGTAAAGATTCTACTGACTTTGTCACCAAATGTTACATGGTTAAATTCTCTCTACTCATTACTTATCTTTGGTATACAGTATTACCTTTTGAGTAATACTTCTGTATCTGTATAAGTGTGCAGCCATGAAAATGTAATTTGTGGTTGATGTATTCTACTCATTTTATACTTAGCTATATTGTTATTGTTATTGTAAATAGCCTTAAGTCAAATAAACTAGTATAGGGATTAAAGACAAACATTTAGAACTGATTTCTTTCCTTAAGTGTCTAATAACTAAGTTTGTTTGTTTTCTCAATCTTTTAGTGGAAAATAAAATATGTAAAAGTTTCTATAGTTTATCAGTGACGTAGCCAGGATTTCAAAATAGGGGGGGGTCGACCGACCGGGGGGTCTGGGGGGTATTCAATACCCTCCATTTAAAAGGGGGGTCGGAGAAAATTTTTAAAAATATAGGCCCCAAAACGGTCTTTTTAGCTCTCTTAGCATTGAAAATAATCAACCCCAACGTCAATACAGTGTGATTATATAATTTTACCTTAATTTAACAAAAAAATATTATGTTTAAGACCTGAAAGGGGGGTTCGGACACCCAGGACCCCCCCTGGCTACGTCACTGAGTTTATATTCGGACGCGAGCAGCTATTCGGTGATGAAATCCAAGTAACTGATGGATACAAAGTATGGATAAAAAAGCTGAAAACAAAATAGTTTTAAAAACTGTTTTATTTTGTGATGCCAGGTTTACATGTGGAAACATAAACAGGAATTAATATACAACAACAAACATAAAATTTTTAAAGATACAACAAAAGCAATTATTTTGCAGAGACTTTTTTGTCAAGTCAAAATGTAAAGTAAATGTACAGAGAAGTAAGGTACAGAGGAATCTTGTTTTAGTAACAACCGTGCAGTTCAACTCTAGTATGTTAAGCAGGAAATATACTTGCAGCAAGGAAGGGCCTGAGCAGCGAGCACTGTTCGGAAATTTGTTATCACACTGCGTTGTCCTTAACCATGAGCGTTGTTGTCGTGAGGGTGAGGGTGATGGAGTTGGACTTTGCCCTAGACACCAGCGACTAGTGATAGACACCACGTGTAACATCCAATGTTTCCTCTGTACCTTACTTCTGTGGTACATGGGAGGAGGAAAATAGTTAATAAGCTCGTAGAAGTTTTTAAGGCACTCGCCAAGGCTCGTACCTTAAATTTTCTACTCGTGTCGTTAACACTATCTTTACGCAATTGTTGCGTAAACTACTATTTCGTTACGGTACTTGCTGATTGTTCAAAAACTTTGAGATAAAATATAACAAAACTCAATAAATAACTATAGAAACCCATCATATGGATATTTCTATAGGATAGTAAAATCTCTAATACACAGACAGTTCTCTTTTTTAAAGAATTAAAAAAAAATGCAATAAAGACCAACACCCTATTTCTTAAGGCAAAACTATCTGCAATTGATATGATTGAAACCTTTACACCTATGGAAGAGACCCACTCACCAACTTCCAAAACGTTCATAACGTTATCCTCCAACGCTCCAACAATTTACAAAATAATAAGTGACAGATTCTGAAGGAATGATTAATACTGTAAAGCAATTTTATTGCTTATTAAAAACTAAACAGACCAATATGTAAGTCATTGACAATCCTTGAATTAACTAGTTGGTCTAGTTTGATTATAAATATAACATATTGTTATAAAGGACACTTTCCAAAGCACAGAAACAGAAACTTAACACTTAAAAAATTAAAAATTAAACTTTACAGTAAGTTCCTTCATGTGCATTTATTCCTTGTGCCGAACGACCCAATGTTTGTAATGTGTCTTCACAACATTAAAACAATCTTTGGACCATAGCTTTGTCATGTGGCCTGTTGTTAATTGGCTGAAATAAGTCTTGGTTCTCTCAAGGACTATCAGCAATTCCAGTCTGTAAAAAAATCAATTATCTTTATGATCATATCATACAACACGTTTTGAAAATAGTTTGTTTTGTGTTTTGTACCAATTGGAATTTGTTTACATTTTTCGTAAGAATTGGCCAAACCCTGGTCTTTTTACAATATAACTTTGGCCTTTTGTTACCATTTTTATCACAAATGACATGGTAATTTAAAGGTAAGAACTATAACCACTCGGCTACCCAGATGGCATATTTTTGGTATGTCATATGGTGTAATGGTATATTTTATCAGTAGGAATTTTATATTTACAATGGCAATATTTCATAACTAGTCTTATAACTTTACCTATTCTGAGAAATACAAGCACTCTTAATTCAAAATAACACTCTATTTACTCTTTGAACAAGTTATAAACAATAGTCTACATCACGATGGTGGTAGAGTACACATTTTTAAAGCTTTGAAACCAAATAACTTAAACACTTTATATTTCCTGCGTAACTGAGTGGTTATAGCGCTCGCCTTCAAATCTGAGGGCCACTGGTTCGATTCCAAGCGAGATCAATTCCAGACGCAGATACCATTGCGATTGAGCTAAGAATTATGATATTATCTAACAAAAAGGTCAACATCATTGCACCGTTGCCTTTCAAAAACGTAAAAAAATTGGATTGGTAATAAGAACACAAATAAACACCTAAATTAATCTGGGTTTACCTAGGCACAGAGAATGAAGTCCGTTCTCCTCTTATATTAGGTAATTAATAGTAAAATTTTCCTCAAATCTGAACAGACTACCACTACACGAGCAGAAAATCGCTTCTACCTTAAATTGTGGATGGCAATCTGCTCTTCACGCCTAGGAAATCCCAGCTTTTTATGAAGATAACACAACATAGACAACACCAAACTTAATTGGGTTTTCTGTGTAGAGAACTAGAACTATTAAAAATTAACCAAAAACTAATAACATTTTAATAGTCTAGAAAGTTAATAGGTTAAATTGCCTGATTTACTTTTGAGTACCAAAAATTTCCAGCATTCCTAGTTATACATGGTAAACCTGACTTTTGGGGTACGTCAGCAAACAAATCCAAGAAATTCACTCTACTATAATGTCTACATCTTAGTAAAAATCAATCAAGTTTAACTCAGTTGCAAGAATGAATTTATCATACTTTTCAGTTTCTAGGCTTCATATCTTGGGGTGAATGTTAATTGTACTTACAGAGTCATAAGTTGGTTGACCGTTACAATAAACAGTTTCAAAGTCATTGTCCATTTCTATCTTCACTAGGCTGGTGATGGGTTCCCCCTGAAACATCAATAAGCACAGACTGATAATGATTTGTCCATTCCTTTGCAAAATATACGTCACATACAGAAGAGAATGGCCAATAAATACTTTCTTATGAAATCACGACCATACGAATGTAGGTATTTTGAGCCAAGTATGAATGGAAATGAGTGGCCCGATCTCGACATGTTCCTTAGGCACAGCTGTTAATTGATAGCCCACACAGCCAATGGCATCTAAGGGACCTAAAGTTTAAAGTGGAATCCGAACCACATTTTTGCCTTGTAATTGACAAATTGGTCTTATTATCAGGATAGTACTGCGGATCGTCGTAGTATTCACTAGTGCGGACATTAATCCACACCAGGGAGTAGTAAAGTTCTGATTCTGTTGTAAATACTATTACCGTTATCAAATCCTTGATGGTAGCCCATCTTTGGATAATCACGCCACGCCAGTCACATTTTCACAATTTACACTATCTGCATGGAAGTTAATTTAATTTAACTCGTTCGCTGCAGCCCACAAAATGGCAGTCGAGCGGACCCGTTTGGCTTTCAAATATTTCAGTTTGACAAATAGCAAATGATATGTTCCATATTTTTATTGCAATGCTACACCACAGGCATTGCCTAACTAAATAAAACATAATACTACAAACTATAAGTTTGTTTTGAAAAGTGAATGCCTATATCTACAAGATTTATATCTTTAAGGGCCTTATTTCTATGAGGCCCCTAGGCTCACACTAGAGAGGACCCTCCGTTCTGATTCTTTTGTGGCTGAAGCCTGGGGGGTTTAGAAATACAAGTGATTTTAATTCAAGTGGTAGCGATAGACTCGACCCATTTTTCTCAACAATCTAATATGCTAATAGACCTAAGATGTAAAACTAGCTGATAAATAATTATATTAAAAATGATGTATAAGCTATCTGCAGACAAGCTTAAATGAGGTCGGGTCAAGATCGGTTTGCTTTGGAAAGTATTTGTTGTTTTTTTGATTCAAACAATTCCTGCAATCGTAGAAAATTGTAAACACAAAAAGATTCTCTGTAGAAGCTTTCCTGCATGGACCTTCAATTTTTCACTGCTCAGAACTTCCTGACTAGACACTTTTACTTCAGTTCATCATCTTTTAGACAGTTAAGAAAGATGAGCAATAACTCATCAGATGATAAAAAAAATGTCTAAAGACTATACAAAAAATTTGAAGAATTACTTATTTTAGTAAATTCAAACCAAAGAGAAGACAGACTATCTTTAACAAAACTTGAAAAAAGTTGATTTTTTTGGACCGGAGAAAAAAATCAATTTTAATAATGTCAGATCTGCATTGCCACTTAAACAATTTGATCAGTTTTGATAATACTTAAGAAATCTTACCTTAATGGAGACATCAGGTGAAAATTCTCCCTGCCTGTAAAGTGAAATTACTAATTAGATTACAAAACTAAAAACTAAAATATCTATTGAAGGAGCAGCCATTAAATATATTATTTTATTAACAATAAATCAAAGACAAATAAACACGGTTACACAAACTATTACATCGGCCTTATTTCCCTCTGATTGAAGAAGAGATTCAAATAAGAACACCCAGAAAGACAACTGCTTCATAGAGAATTTTGTAAATAATTTAAATTACATAACCATTCAGATATAAATCACAACGGAGGATCCGTGCGCAGATCACACATTTTAATAGGGCTTAAAACTTAATTCCAATATAAAAATAATCAATGCAATACAATTACAAAATATTAAATATTAAAACATTATAAGATAGAAAACAATTAAACAATATATATTCTTTTTTGCCCTAAATCATCTAAACTCATAAACAGCTATAAGTCAATACTGTTTACTCGGTTAAGAACATTACCTTTCAGATATTTCACTTCTTCCAGCACTTAACATTTTGTTCGGTTGAAGATTCTGTATTAGGTGTCCGCTGTTTTTCAAAAGCCCTTCGGCTGTTGAACATTCTCTTCTATCTCCATGTGCTGAAGGTCGGTGAAACCTAAACCAAACAAAGGTTAAGTGAAAAAAGGTTATTAAAAAATAGGGGTGTGCGAAGCAGCAAAAAATTTTCGATTCGAAGCAACGATTCGATTCAAAAGATTTTCGATTCGATTCGATGCAACTCGATTCGAAGCAATACGGTATTTTTCTATTCATAATTGTCAATTGAGTGGATTAACAATAAGTAAAATTTATCACATTTGTGTAATACAAATTTTTGTTGATGTGGTATTAGGCCTATTCATACTTACATATGAATTTTAGGTGAAAAAATATTTATTTTCAATCATATGTATTAGAATAACTGCTGGAAATACCAGTGAGCTGCTTTACTTGCCTATTTCATAATTTTTACTTGGAATTGGCTCAACTGCAAGAAAGAAGAAAATATTTTTTTATCAAGACATTCATTCTCATTTTAATAACAACTGTTTAAATAACTAAATAGGTACCGGTAGCTAAATTACAACAAATTTGAATGGAACTTAATATAAAAAGACCATTAAGAAATAAATTTACATATCACAAGTTTAGGGCCTGTGGACCGGCTTCAGGACTGCAAGCAAGAAGAAAATAAAAATAATATGTTTCCACCATGCAACATGTATCATTCATTCCCTGCCTCCTAACCTCCTTAGTATAATAACCTCACACTTACATTATTTGTTACATCATCATAAATAAAGAATTATTATTGGCATCAGTAGGCCTACAGCTTTACATAGGCATTATTTTTATAGGGCCTAAAATAGTAATAGGCTAGAAGCAACATGTCAAGTGGAGAACTCATTGAAGAAAAGATATTGTGTAAACTAATTTCCTATAAAACTCAAAAACAGTAAATAACATACAAACATTGTTTATGGTATAATTAATAAGGACTAAAAAATGCATATCATGTCATATCAGTAGTATAGACCTACCGGTACTGCAAGAGATTAAAATCCTAAAACAACTGATTTTGATAGCTAATGAATGAAAAGAATTAAAAATCCATAAAATGAAGCTAAACAATATCACAACTAATTAGGTACCCGAAAAGTAACTCTTAAATAATATATAGAAGATTAAAATAATATTAAATCAAGAGACAAGAAAGTTAAATGCTATCTTCTAGTGCCCTTGGCAACACAGGTCAATGTTTTTAAACTACCCTCAATGTTTTTGGAACAGCAGGGCCTTTTTCTCTTAAGGAAGGGTAGTAGTATGTCAACAAAAACAATGAATCAGTCTCACCAGCCAGGCCCGGGCAACGATGTGTGAATTCAAGGTCATAGACCCTCCCCCTCCCCTCTTACACAACCCGGTTCCTACCCAGTTGCTTCAATTGCTGACAAAATGCAAGTGATGAAACAAGGAAGTAGAGACAAAGAAATATATTTCTTTATTCAAAAACACAAAACTGTTAGAGGTTATTTTCAAAGAAATTAATTCAATGTAATTTGTGAGTTGTAAATATTGTATTGGATCTTAGAAATATATTTTTTTAACCCTATTTAACCAAGATACAGATCTGTTCACTATATCAGATATTTCTTTTGTTTATAATTTATTATGTAAAATACTAAAATATATTTTTAATTAGGTATTGAATGAACAATAAATGATTATACTAGTATGTTATACTAGTATGTGTAGGTTGTACTAGTATGTATAAATAGTCTTTCTATTCTTTTGACTTTGTTTTCTTTGCACTGTTAGTGTTGCGTCACGGCTTTTGTCTTGTTACTCTTATCAGTAGACGACTAGACCTGGCTCTGGCTAGTGGCAGTGCGGCAATTGCTCTGTTGTGTCTTTATTCTTAAAGGTCGTGAGCCAACTTAATTTTTAATTCTCATTTGAACATTTTAATTCCTCTGTAATAGATATAATAATATAAGAGTGTTTCTTTGGAAATAAATTATTCTTTTTTTTCTTTTGCCCCAACAAAAATTCGGGGACGGGGACCGACAGACACCTAACAAAAATACCAAATGTATCAGTCTATAACATTGATCTTACTAGTTAAGTATTAAGTAACAATTTTTCAGACTTATTTTTAAAATGATTTTGGAGTAACCTACCTTGTTTTGGCTAGGTTTACAGTAGTAAAATATTTCACACACTGCTTACATCAAGACAAAAAACAAAACCTCTAATCATTTGCAATGTCAAAACAAAAAAATATAAAACAATTAAAGCTATATTTAATGCAAAGAATGTATTAAATAAGAACGCCTTCGTAAAGGAAACGCAACAGCAACGCGCTCCTGTATTGCGGGTATTGCATTGACTTTCTGCAGGCGTTTTTCGTATATGGATACTGACTCCCTCGTGAATCGAATCGTTTTTTGACCACCACTGAATCGAATCGCGATTCGATGCATCGAATCGAATCGAATCGAAATTTCGATGCATTTTCGATGCATCGCACACCCCTATTAAAAAATATATATACCGTATACCGGTATTAAATTTGTTATAAATTTGTTAAACCAACGTTTTATAAACTTGCCGTTTCAAAGGTCTTAAAATTGAAAAGATTTATTTAACAGCATTGATTACTTACTTAACAACATTGTGTTTTTACTCAACAACACGGTACCGTACCAATGAGGTTCAAGGATTGAGAGAAAAGAAGTAAAATTGTATAATTCGAACTTCAACTAATCAGCTGTTCAGGCCAATTTAATTGTTGAGTGGTGCATTAGTGTTTGGTACAATGTTTCGTTACATCACTGTCAGTGGCAATGAGAGGTTATAAACAAAAACATAACCTCTCTTAGAAGTTATGAGTAGTGACATTTAGTTGGCCTAATTAAAACACTGTCGTAGGTAAAGTAGTGTACGCAGCTCACGTAAATCGTCTTAACAACATTCTTAGAAAGTTTTTTAGGCACTTGCCAAGGCTCGCACCTAAATTTTATACTTGTGTCTTTAACACCATCTTTAGGCAATCGTTGCGTAAACTACGATTACAACATATAAAGCTTTCATTAAATGGTGTGCTGAGATTGTCAATTACATCCGATAACACAGGCTTTCAGATGTTTATGTGATTATAATGGTCCATGAGCTAGCTTACTTAAATCATAAAGCCGTTTTCGCCATTTTCTCAATTTCCTGTAAAAATTACTAGCTCTAACTAAAAAAAATTCTGCAGGCGTTAAAACATTTCAACTGATAACTAGGGTTTATAATGTCTATACATCCCATAAATTGCAATTTACCAAAAATTATTTTTACAATATTCTTGAAAAAGTTGTCATCAAGTTGAAGACACTGTAACATTACTTACTGCTTATTTAGATCGGCCTTTTTCTTCTTATTCTGACACATATGACAAGTCTCTTTATCCATCTGAATTGTGGCATTGATGGTGTCACTTATAAACTGTTGTTGCAGTTGGTAAGACTTGTCTAGAGGAAGCCGTCTCAGCAATGAAACAAGGTAGTTTCCGAAGGACACAAGAGCATCATTTTCACCACCAGGGAAAACTCCGTCAATGTTGGATTCTTCATCGTGATTCTCTGTATCATCCTGGGTGGCGGAACTTGTTCCGGAAACATTTGATAGATATTGGTCCTCTCTGAAAACAACAATTATTTATAAAAACATTTTTCTCTCAGTCCATAATCACGGACCTTTTCCGTTATATGTCACAGTAAATTTAGTGAATTTCCCTACAGGGAAGTAGCTCTTACCATAGGTGGCACGGTAATACCTAGACCCGGGACTGATTTACTTTTTCATTTTTATGTCACGGAGGCTAAAAACACTTGTTCAAATTTTTATATATATGTCCGTGAACGCGATAGCTCGAGTAAATTTTGTCAGATTTTAATGAAATTTGGCTTGCAGGTGTAGGACGGGATAAACTTGGGAGAACTTTAACAACGGCAAGATTGGGTCGTGTATTATGGGGTTTTAAAGTAAAATTTTTTTGTATGTGGTCAAATATGGCTAAGTATTATTATTTATCCAGAAACTATAAACATTTGGTAAAAAAACTCTTGTTACATACCCTGTAGCAAACCTATGTACCTACTTGTTAAATCCAATGTTATTTAACTTGGAAATTTAAAAAACAATAGGTCTTGTTTATGGAATTATTTTTAGTAAAAATCCAATAAGACAAATTAAAAATTCACTTAGTCTGCAGGTTTGCTGCAGCGGGGGTATTTAGGTTGAAATAATCTCTTTTACAAATCCTCTTTAGGGTTAGGTTAGGTAACCAAGACATAACCTAAAAATTCCACTAGTTATTGTTTCATGCAAATTATAAAGTGGTAGTGGTAGTATAACGGAGAAGGTCTTGTGTTCTATGTACAGTAGAACCTCTTTAATCCGAACTAATTGGGACCAGGGGTAGTTCGGACTAGTGAATAGTTCGGATTACAGAACATATTGTTGTTTTTACATAACAATAGCTAAAACATGGCTAAAATTGATCTAAATTATTTTGGGAAAAGTGAAAAAAATGTTTTATAAATTAAAATACAGCGTTTATTTAATACAGTAGTAAACATGGTGAATAAACAGTACTGTACATTAAATACAGTATACAATAAAGAACTGCTGTACAGTGTATAGAGTACAGCAATGAGGGGTTCGGATTAGTGGACGTTCGGATTACGGGGGTTCGGATTAAAGAGGTTCTACTGTATAGAACATCTTGTACAAATCTAACAACACAAATTTGTACTTGGATGGTTTACTGACTGATTTTGTGGGTTAGTTTTACCTGACGAAACTCTCGGATGAAATATTTGCGAGTGTGCTAGAGTGTGGTAAGGGCTGCTTCTTTTCCCACCCTCCATGGTTGTATGGAATACACACAGTTGATGTATAGCCAAAACTGGTGTCACCTTCACTGGAGTTGTTCGTGTTATTGATCATAGAGTTCGTCTTACCACCCTGAAACAAGTCAATGCGTTGATAAGAAGTCCCCTAGTTGTAAAATTGGGTGGTGTAGCAATTTTCAAAAATAAAACTTCCACAAAACACAATATCCTAAAGTCCACAGACATAGGCATAAAATTTTCAAAAGAAACAATATTTGAGTGTGCTGAAATAAGTTTTTCTGTGAGAAATGAACAGTTTAAATAGTAGCTTCCATGTACAGGTCTCCATACAGCAGCAACCTTGATGAATACTTTAGTAAATTGAATGAATTTACTTAAACATCTACTTAAGGCATCTACTTACACTGAACATTAAGAATAAATATATAGTAATAGGCTCAGATTTCAATATTGACTTGATCAAAGATGACACTGCCACAAATTTGCAACGCTGATTAAAAGTTTTGATATGAAACCAAACATTTTTGAACCAACTAGAATTACTGACACAACCATGCATAGACAATTTTTAACCAACATTGAAATATTATCATCAGCAGTAAAAGAACCGCATATTTCAGACCACTGTGCTATCTCAATAGAAATAGGCCTACCTGAATTCATCTCAAACCAAAATAACATCTCAAACCAAAATAAAACCTTAGAAAAAAGAATAATTACTGATGAAAATCTTCATGAACTTAAAATAGGGCTACAGTCAGAGGACTGGAACTTAGTATATGATGCTCCTGATATTAATACCAAAAATGATAGCTTTATAGAAACATTCAAATATTATTTTGATATCAGCTGCCTGGATAAAAAATGAAAACTTAATCTCAGTCGCAAAGGAAAAAGCAAATGTGGATGAACAATGAGAGCAATACTCAGTATGGAGGCTGACAGGAATGGTATCTGAAAAAGAATTATACCAGAAGCTTAAAGATAAATATAGAAACAAAATACAGGAAAGTAAAATCAAATGGGCACACGATTGCATATATCCAGCTCAAAAAATAAATCTAAAGACTCTTGGAAGATTATTAATATCATTAGGCCAAAAGAAAATTCAGACTATAATAATATTATACTGAATATTGACGGTAACAAAATAGAAAATCCTGTAGACGTGTGTGAAACCCTAAATGACTATTTTGTTAATGTTTCGAAGCTTGTTAACAAGGATGAGGAAACCCATGCCTTACTGTATCTGGTTTTAGGAGGAATGGCACTGCTGAACTTGGACAATTTCATTTAATTACATCTGCTTACCTTCTGGATTTGTTCTCAAAGCTTCCACCTAAACACTCAAGTGGTGTAGACGGAATCAGTATGCATGTCCTAAAATATTGTAGGGAGGAAGTGGCAGCTCCTCTTACCCACATAGTCAATTTTTCACTGACATCTGGAATTTTCCCTCAGAATTGCAAAACAGCAAAAATAAAACCAGTTTTTAAAAGGTCAGACAGAACTGACTTCTGGAATTATCGGGGAATTATCGTCCAATCTCTCTCCTACTAAATGGATTGAGAAAGTTGTTTCGGAGCAACTTAGCAACTTCTTGGAAAAAATAACATATTATGTGACAGACAATATGGTTTCAGACGCAACAAATCAAAACAATTGGCACTCATTGATTTCATCAACAGCAATCAACAGATGCAATGGAGGCTGGAGAAACAGTAGTTGGTTGTTTTGCTGATCTCTCCAAAGCCTTCGATTGTGTCGAACCTGCGATTCTATTGGAACAATTGGCATCAATTGGAATCTCTGGACTTTCGCTGAAGTGGCTCACATCCTATATGAGCAACCGATTCCAAGTCGCTGAGATAAAAAAAAAAACACAAATTCAAAAACTGAAAGAATTTCATAAAAAAACTTATCTCCAATGGCGTCCCCCAGGGATCTGTCCTTGGACCTCTCCTTTTCCTAGTCTACATATATCAATAACATAACAGATACCGGTACTGTTCCGCAGGACAGCGTCTACCTCTTTGCGGATGATACGATATTGTTCGTAAGGGGGACTGACGATGCGGCCCTGGAGGCAGAATCTAATCAAAGAGCAAATGATCTGGCTGACTTTTTTTCTTCGAACAAACTCAAATTAAATTCACAAAAAACAGGATACATGTGTATCCAAATTGCAAAGACAAAATTTTAAAAATAATAGGACTCCGAACCTATTAATTGGAGAGGATCAAATCCAAATTTCAAAATCTGCCGACTTTTTGGGAGTGAGATTGGATGACAAATTGAGCTGGGATGCACAAATAAATAAACTGGAGGGGTCATTGGCTCGAGGGGTCTTTGTACTCGGAAGAATAAGGTCCTTCGGAAACCTGGCTCTCTCTAACCTTGTGTATTTTGGCCTAGAACAACACATTTCGTATTCAATCATCCTATGGGGAGCTGTGAATACAAATATTGAGCAGATCTTTGTTTGGCAGAACAAGGCAATAAGAGCAATCTTGGGTATGCCGCCTCGGACCAGCTGCAATAATGTTTTTAAAGAACTTGGCTTTCTCACAGTCCCTTCACTTTTCATCTTTGAATCGGTTTGTTATAAAAAATCACAGAACATTAAACCAACTTTTACAAATCACACTTACAACACCCCGAACAAAGGGCACACATACAGTCAAACTCTCAACATTTGAACACAAACCAGATTACATGGGAATGAAATTGTACCAGGCCCTACCGAAAAAATTACTTAAAATTCAGAGTTTAACAAAATTAAAATTGAAAAAATATCTAGTGGAGTTAAATTTTCATGAAATAGACAGTTAACTTAACGGTGACAAAAACTAGTATTTAAGTTGGTTATTCTTTGTATTAACCCTGACTTGTCCAATTCCTTTAGGCAAAGGACTACGGACAGAGAGATCAATGTATGTTATGTATGTATGTAGCCTATGTAAAAATCAGAATGGAATTTCACAAACATTACGGTAACTCTAAACTTCATTTAAGTTATGGGTTGGAATGTTTTTTTAAAGTTAAATTAATAGTTTTATAATTATAATAGCCTACCATTCCTGATGCAGAAGACACTTCGGAATGCTCTTCGTGTTGACTAGTTTCATGATGTAGGCCTACTGTTGCCGTTTCTGGTGACTGTAACTGTCCAGTTGCAATCTTGGCTTTGGCTACGGCAACTGAGCTTTTCCATCCTCCGAGACGCTTTAACTGCAATATGTTACCTCTACTTGCCTCAACCGACAATGTTGCTGAAGTCCGTCTAAAACAGCGTCCATCGTACCTTTCGGGGTTAGGCAGCTTTAAAAAAGTAGCTACCTCAGTTGGGATTTTACCTATTGTATTAACACCTACAGGTTGTCTAATACAAACACCTTTAGAGTACTTCAAAAATAGTCTACTCGTCGGTACGTCTACAGGTCTTAATTTGAGGTATTTCCTGTACAATTCCAAATAACTTGTATCAAAATCATCGTCATCAGTTAAAGTAAAGATGCGTTTTTTGTTGGTTTGTGAATCTGCTACTTTAATTATTAAAATATAACCTTTATCATCTATGTCATCTACCGACATTTTAGTTAGCTCGTTTGGCCGACAAGCACCAGCTACTCCCAATATTAATACTACCTTCTTCATTAGATATATTTCATCGGGAGCAGTTTTAATAAAGGTTTCAAACTCATCTTTGGACAGCGGCTTTGACTTTGTGGGCTTATAGCCTAATGACAGTTTTTTCAAATAAGATCCAAGTGTTTTGTAACTGCTAATGTTTATGTCATGTTCAACTTGAATTGTTTTATTGAGCATCGAATAATAGCTCCAAATAGTTGAAGACTTCATCACTTTTGCTTGTTCTGCAAAATATTCCAAAAAAACACTTTCTGATAATTCAGTAACCTTCTTACTTTCACACCAAGAAGAAAACAGTTCATAACAGCGTTCATATTTCCTTTTAGATTTCTCGGGTAATAGGTACAATGAAACTTGTTTTGTCGCTTCCGCTAACTCTTCTGGGGAAGGGGAATTAGGCCTACTAAACTTATATTCACAGTCACTTTCACTTTGTTCATTATTTTCGAACATTTTACTTATTAAAATAATAAGATAATGAGTCTTTACCCCAACACTAGTTTTTTTAGGTTAAGATTAATCCCGTCCAAGCATTGATTGAACCATCGTATCGTATTATTCGTAATGGTTGAACTTGAACAAAATAAACAAAAACAAACAATAGCCTAGCTAACATTTCACCCTCCACTTCACTTGTCGTCACGTCACTATGCTATGCATGCAGTCGCCGCAGTCTGCCATGAGTGAGTGCAAGTGTCATGCAGTGCAGTCGCAGTTCGCAATCGCAGTCTGCCTGCCCTCAGTGCCTGCCATAGACAAAACATAGTCCCTAAGGAACTATGTTTTATATAGCCCTACCTGCACTCGTATAACGGTTCCGTGGAACTGTGACATATATCAGATAACAGATATATCTGTTACAACGTTTACAATGAATTGAATATAGCAAACATAGGACAGGTTGTTACTATTAACAACTAGTAAGTCTGCGCTTTGCTTTTATACTTTCTGTTTCTGGTTCTTGCTCATCCGTTGGTTTATTTTTTTAGGATCTCATGTGCAAGTCTTCCCCCTCACATCACAACTAATTACTGGGCTCCACAGACGGTGTTTATGTTAATATACCGTATACGATACATATATAACGCAACATAATGTCGTTATTATGCATAAAACAATGATAATATGATAATAGTGCCTACGTTGTTATTGCACTTACCTAGGCAGAAAAGTAGGTGAGACACCCATCAATGCATTAAAATGAGAAATCATCTATATGGCAAACATCAAAATTAATCAGTCTTATAGCTGTATAATCCTTCAATATTTTATGTGTACAATTTTTCTGTGTCATTGGCAAACTTATTTTTTAAGGCAGATGTGTTTATTTTTATAAATAAATTATTTTCTCTTGTTTGGCTTATTTTACCCTAATCGTATCTATGCACCCTTTTGACTTCCCTCTCCCTCCTCTAAAATCATCTCAACCCCGGAAATTTTAATATTGATTTAGTTACTATTATCCTCAATTCCTGCATTTTGGTTTGAAAGAATCTTAACTGCATTTGAGATCACCACACCATGTTCTGAGTCAGCTATATCACAATTAAAAATAATTATGGATCTAGGCACAGGTCTCAATAAACACTTGACAGCAACATGTTTGAAAGCTAGGCCTAATTTGTAAATTAAACTTGAATTTTAATGGATTAATAGGCGTATACTAAACTAGCCTCCTAGATTTACCTCAAAATATGTAAATTAATATTATGTAAGTTGAGTCATGTCAGTTAAGTATTTATAAATTAATTTATACTTAATTATTTTATAGTTTGTGCTGAAACTAAGCACTTCATCGCTTCAGGTATTTACTCAGGCTTCTTATTAGCTGAGGGAACGCCATTACCGTAACAAAACGGTCGATATAGCCATCGGCTTCGGTGGTCTAATGGTTAGCGTGCCGGGCTGATATACTGCAGGTCCCGGCTCCGAATCCCACCGGTGGCACTAACTTTTTGTCCAAGATTTTTTTATTTTCAGCAAGTTTGGTTGGTTTGGTTTGGTTATTACAGTTTAATTTTATTATTAAGTCATTATAAAATTTTAATTGAGCAATTTCTAGTTTTATTTTATAAACAGAATTATTTTTCCGATTACTATAAACTTTTGTTATATTATTTCTTTATCAGCAAGTTTGGTTAGTTCGGTTAGGTTATGATAGTTTAATTTTATAATTAAAAATTAATAAAATTGAATTTTAGGCATTTATAATTTTATTTTATGAACAGAACTATTTTTGCGATTAGTAAACCTTCTTTGCCAAAGTGCTCTCTACTACAGCGCTGTTCACGGAGGAATTTTGAACTAAATGCCTCATTTGTACCTCCCCTAAGTCAGACCCATCGCTTCACACTGTATCTTCGGGTGAGGCTTGAATAAAGTAAATTAACTTACACTCTTGTATATCAAATGTAGTGATTATGGAATAATAAAAAGGAATGTCAGAAGTTGGGTTCCTTTGTAACACAGAGATGAAGTTGGCCTGATCTAACAGGTGGTTTCAGTCTAGCTGTTACTTTCAGAAAATATATGTAGGCTATGTTTACTCCGTTTTGACTGCATCTAAAAGTTACCTTCTTATGTATCCAGCAAATGGCCGAGTGGAATTGGATTTTTTTCCTATTACCTTACCTGTGTCATCATATTAATTAATGTATTAATATGGGTTGGTTAAGTTAAAAAGTATAAATTAAAGTTAAAAAGTATAAATTAAAGTTAAAAATTATAAATTAAAATGTATTGAAATTTTACAACTTCAAGAATACCTTAAATTCCAAATTATGGTTCCTAGTTTACAAAGGATCTAAGGTGACCCCTATTAGTTTAAGTGAGTTGGCTTTGACTGGGAGTGGTGGGATAACAAAGTGAGGTTTAACCGGTTACAGTCCTCTTTATCTTAGTATCTGTTCCATCCATCATCGAACGCTTGTCACAGCTCCCATGGAGCAGTTTGTTTGCGCTTGCGCATTGGAGAGGAGTAATCTGAGATTACTACGAAACGGATGTGCGCTCAGGGCCGGACTTAGGACTTCAGGGGCCCCGGGCAAATTTTCCAATGGGGCCCTAGGATTTCAGTTTGGGGGGTCTTCCGGGGGGATTGGGGGGCATGGAATACCCCCCAAGCCAAAGGGGGGTCCTCCTCCGGGAAAATTTTCTAAATTTAGGCTTCAAATAGAGCAATTTAAGGCCAAATAAGCAATAAGTTCTATATCAAAAATCGTTCTTAAAATATAAATATTTTTATATACAGCATCTTTTAATTATATACACAAAAAATAAAAATGTTTGAAACCTAATCTCTTGCATTCACTATTTAAACAAACTCTGACCAAATGTTTCAATTGCTTTGTAGTACCAGTGTCGGCATATTTGGTATGGTAGCGTGGTAGGCTACCATAATATATTTAGATTAGAAGTATTGATATATTTTTGTTTATTACGTATTTAAATTATCGATTATTGCCGTCAATTTGTATGATTTTTCAATATTACTACAATATAGGTGTGATTATTTTATTTTCATAATGGTTTTGGTACATATGGCATTCTCGTTTTTATAATATGTTAAAGTCCTAGCATGAAAAGTACCATTGAGGACTTTCAAGTTTGAGTTTTTTATTGACGAGCAAAATCTTGCAATGTCTAATAAACACTCACAAGCTAACTATTTATATGAGTAACTGAAAGATGTTTAAATTGATCCAATATCGATTAATACAACACAAACATCGCATTGAATACAGCATTACTCACTTCAGCTTTGTTTTTGTACTGTTAGTTTGCAGAATTACAATAAAATAACACAAAATTAAGACAATTTCAACCAACTTGACGTGACCACTAGTTTCAAAGGACAAACTATGGGAGTAAAGTGATTTAAATTGTTTTGGATAGGCGATAAGGCATTTTATGTGTGTGTATGCGCGTGCGTGAGACAGACAGGACTACACAGGATCCCTTATCAGCTCATTATTATTTATTGTTGCAGCTGCTTCTGCTTATCGCTTGTTTACGATTTCAGTCGACAATGCTCGCCCACTCCCAATAAATGTAATTTTTTGTTAACATCAGTCAGACGACTCTAGTTGTTTTAAAGTGTCTATATAGATTTTAAAAATCTTACTGGCGCTGTATGATTTTGACTCCAAAGACTAAATTAGAGATAAAAATTTTGACGCATAACTTAATTAAATACTATTTTACAAAACCTTTAAATTGAATGGATAATATACTTCTACTCCTTAAAATCCTGATTGGTATATAGGCCTACTTAGAGGTAAAAGAAAAGAATAACATTTAATAAAACATAAGCGGAGCAATGTTTTTATTTTTAAAAGTATTTGAACTCCAGTGAATCTCCATTTAACACAACACAATTTTACAAGTTACGTTCTACGTTGGGACAAGAGTTTTCATATTTATTGTATTTTTGCCCCAAGCGCGGGGCCCCTTCAACTCATTCGCCGCGGCCGTACGTTCGGGCGAGCGGCTTCGTAACTGAAACTTGTCCGTCACAGCCTAGCACATATGCTCGTGTAAACCAGGCCTAAGCGTGGGGCCCAGTGCAACTCTGAGGAAAAGTCCCTTAGGGTCAAGAATTTTGTTCCTAGTAATGCCTTAAAATGCACCTAACAATAACCTAAAATATAGGATAACGAAAATAAAAATAAAGCTGTTACAAAAGAAGGCCATGTGGTAAGTGTCTGATCAATTTTCAAAGTTATTAATAAAAACTACTGTGCAAGGGGGCCCCTGTCGGGGCCCCCCTTGGCCCGGGGGCCCCGGGCGCTCGCCCCCTTCGCCCATAGGTAAGTCCGGCCCTGTGTGCGCTCGTACGTACTCCTACTAGCTGAGCTGATCGATTTAGTAGTGTTGCCAACTTGATTTCAAGCCCAACAGATTTTACATGCCTGATAAATACAGAATATTTTTGGTATTGTTTGGTTCGCGGTTACAGTCCTCTTTATCTTCATCTCAGTATCTGTTCCATCCATCATCGAACGCTTGTCACAGCTCCCATGGAACAGAATATTTTTGGTATTATTTGGTTGAAGCATATTTTTAAATATTCCTTAAGCCCGTGCCTGTGGTTGAAATAACGGAGTTAACACAAAAAAACCCAGCCGCAGCAATCCTGCAGATTAAGCAAATAATTTCTATTTGCCTGATTGTATTTTCAAATTAATCTATTTCAATAACAACTGGGTGTGCTGCTATGCGTTTTTTTTTTAACATATTGATTATTGATAGCTTTGTATAAAATAAACAGTTTCAAGTTTTATTCACTATATAGGAAATTCGCTGAAATGAGTGCGACAAAGTAGAGTGCGGGAATGTAAGTAAATGCATGAATCAGTCGTTGCGTGTTATAATCAGTGTAAGAAACCCCACTTTATCAGGTAACTGTAGTAACAATAATTAATAAACCCTTCGATTGGCCATAGCCACAGAAAACATACTAGTATGTTTTTCTGTGCCATATAGCACGGTTCATGAGTGAGGCATTCCTTTTTTTAGTATAGTAATACTAAGTTCAAGTTTTCATCACTGTCTCCAACCATAAATTCGTTCATCCTGAACCTGAACAGAAGAGACCCGGGGTCTCACATTTAAGAACTGACTAAACTATACCG